ACGAGTAAACTAAAACCTCTATAATTATATTATTTTAAGGTGATTGATTAGCACTTGAAACTTAATTTCCTATCATTGATGTTTACGAATATAATATAATATATTAAGTTAAAAACAATTCTCCAAGGGAAAGGCTTAAATTTGTATTTGAATTTTTAAAATTTCTTAAAAAATGTCATGAAAAGTCTCCGTCATAATTAAATTTTAGCTTAAAAGTCTTCACTTATCACAACAAGAGTGATAAAAATATTTTTCAGGTAAACAGAGGAAAATATTTTAATACTTCATGGAGCAGCATAGAGCAACTCAACTCCACTTGTTTTGCGAATATTCCGTACATCTTTTAAGTTTTAAAGTGCTCTACCTATGCAAACATTTCGGAAAATTTGTGAGATGAAATGGAAATGAAGCTCTTGGATCAAAAAAGTATGTTTCTCTTTTCAGAAACCAGAATTTTCTTTCAAATTTTAATGTAACCTGTCAACATTTCTTCAAGAATGTTTTTAATATTTTCCTAATGTTTTAGAAATATTTTTAGAGCAAATCTACTGTGATATAGTGTTTATAAAATTTTATGACATTGTTGCTTCATATTTTGTGACATAGTTACTTGATATTTTGTGACATAGTTACTTTACAAGTTATGCACCATTAGAAATTTCACCATATCTCGTGAACTTTTAAAGTGAATTAAAAAAAAAAAACTTGCATTCAATAAAAAATTTTCTTTATCCAAAGATAATTTCATGCGAAAATAATTTTGAGAAAATATTTATTATTTTTTATTATTTTATTTAAAAATAGTCGAAAAAAATTTGAATATAAAGGTAAAAAAATTTGTAAGCCATTTTAAAGTGGGTAATTTTGCATAGCTAAATACATATTTGATCAAAATCGGTTAAATAGGTTCTGAGAAATCGAATTTCAATGAAGTCGAATATTTAAATATATTTAATAAATATTAGGTTATAATTAGCAGACTGGTCACGAGATTGACTAATCAACCCCCTATATTACAGTATATGCAGCGCGCACAAATAAAAAAAAAAAAAAAAAAATTAAAATATTAGCCATACANAAAAAAAAAACGAAGCACTCTGAATAATTTTTCTATCGTTCTTTTGCTCGATCTTAGATCGGATCTTTCTCTCATAAGATTCAGTCTTTGAGGATGCTGGAGCAATCAATTCTGGGGATGAACTCAAATATGCTAGTTATTAAGTGCACGCGGTATTTTAAGTTACGAAATCAGACGTAAAAACGTACTTTCTCTGAATTAACATACATTTTCTTCAAGGGATTTGGACTTCTGATCCTCAAAGTATAGAAGGTAGCACTATCAAGGAAATATGGTCCCTATAGTGTGGTCAGGAGAGATGTCCGAAGATTGGACACCTTAATGTTAATTTTACTTTTTGTGTGTATTTCACCATATCTCTAGAAACTTTTAAGCGAATTAAAACATTTTTGCACACAATTACAAAATTCGCTTATCCGAAGATAATTTCATGCAAAAAATAACTTTCAGTTATTATTATTTTTTTTATTATTTTTTTTTAATATTCATCGAAAAGTTTTGAATGGTACAGTATAAAATTTTTGCATCATTTTAAAGAATGTAATTTTGTCAGACAAAATACAAGATTTGATCAAAATCGGTCAAATAATTAAATGAGAAATCAAAATTTTAAAATGGTCGTACACTTAAAATTTGATTTCGCAAGAACGATTAGACCAAATTTGCTCAAATCTCGTATTTTGTCTTGTAAAATTACATTCTTTAAAATGTTATAACGAATTGTACACCTGACTCTTCAAAATTTCTTTTACCAGTATTAAATAAAATAATAAAAAAAATAATAAAAACTTTCTAAATATTTTATAATTTAATTTAAGTTTTTTTTGATTCACTTGAAATGCTTTCGAGTAAAAAAAGCAAAAAGTAAAGTTAACTTTTAGAAATCCAAACTTTTGATTGCTCTCCTCCTCCTTAAGATCCGATCTTTAGATCAAAAGCTATTTAGGATGGCCCGTTTATTTTTTGCGCACTGTACAGCGGTATATTTTTCCGCCAATTTCCTTTCTACTTAAAAGTACATAATAGTAAGGAGATGAGTCTACAAAAATGACAAAAAAAAAGAAAATAAAAGATCAACTATATTTATTTTTTATTTGGAATATATTCCGCCAACATATCAAAGGCCTGATGCTATGGATTTTTTGTACATTTTTATAAACATTATTAAATTTGTACATTATTAAATATGATTAAGTTAAATTAATTTTAATGCATTTCACTAGTTTAAACCCAGTTTGAGATAACCTAAACTAATAATCAAGGATTTAAGCAGTTGAATAATTGATAAACAGTTTAATAATCTTGCATAATCTCTCTAAACCTTATCCACATCTGCATACCGTTTCTCAATATAGCACTCTTATATTTAATAAATCTTCAGATGCAATGCTAGCTCTCCAAATTATTAACTATCATAATTCTATCTATCAGTTTGTTACACTTCATTTATAATTAGATACAAGAGTGTTTAAGGGAATATGTTAAATATCTTTAAGTTACGCAAGTACGTAAGTTGGTAATCTGTTTTAAAGATGGGATAAACTAAAATTATTATCAAGGTATATAATTCTTGTTATTCTGATTTAATGGAATACTTCGGAATACTGGCATAAATTTTTTGAAGCAATTTCCTTGATATAAAATAAATAATAACTGTGAAATAAATCTAAAGTTTTAATTTCTTTCTAAAACAAAATTAATTTATTCATTGAAATACCTTTTTGATTTTTTAAAAACTTGATCTCGAAAAAAAGTAGAAATAAAATAATACAAAATCTCTTTTTGAATTTCCAGTAAGCCTTTTGCTTATTTGTTGTTTGGCTCTTACATTTTTTCTGTCTGAGTCGTGAATTTTCAAAACTCGTTAAGCTGTCTTTAAGATTTTCCTTTTGATTTTATTTAAAATAATAACTTTTTAACTGTAATTTTTGTTAGTTTTTTCTAGGCTTCACTGATATCAAACCTGGTAAGAGACGGAGAAAATGTTCTATGCTTTTCATACATGAAGCATCTGTTTCGGAGGTGACATTAACTTCCTTTACGGAATTAATTCTAACCTATTTAAAAAACCTTGATGGGTGCTTAATTTTGAAAGAGGTCGATTCATTTGTGGAGCAATTTTCACTCAGGCTTACAACAGTTGTGGTAGAAAATTTTCCATAAAAAATGCTAGCACAACAAATTTTTGAGTAGACATAATTACTTTGAAGCAAAATTTTGCTTGGGAAAAATATTGCTTAAAATCTAATAGGGAAACAATTATGCATGAAAAAAATATTCCTTTAATATGATCCTAGAGAGAATAAATTCGTTTTGAAAAACATTATTTTAAATCCCCTTGGGACAAAAGTTTGAATGGACACAGTTTTGCTTTAACACAATCAATTTCAAGAATGAAAAAACATTTAAGTACGTAATTAAAATACCGATTCTTATCTCCCTGGCTTTTATGCATCGAGAATTTGATGTGAGAGATTTTTAATTAGTTATAGTATCAGATATGTAGAGAAATATACTGAGGAAAAAAAAGTATGACCGAAAATAATAGAATACGGCAAAATTTACAGTGTTTTTTACTCCATTTGAGCACCGAATGGCTCGGTAATATTAACTGGAGAGCTCTGACAATGATTTTAGTAAAATTAATAATTTTACACAAATTAATTGTTAGCATGTTATTAAAAATTATAATTATTAATAATCTTAACGTTTGGAAAAATTTGGAAAATGCAATAACATTTGGCAATTTTATCATGCGCATGTGCATTTCATCTTTGCATGCGCATTTTATCATGCGCATTTTATCATGCGCATTTTATCTTTGAGCATGGCATGAAAGCTTTCGATTAATTTTCTGTTTCGTCTTGTATTTTTTATTTAATGTGTGGTAACAAGAACTATAATTTTGATAACCCGAATTCCGCTAAATCGTTACCATATGAATTGAAAGATTACCAAATGAATGGTTAAAATACAGTGTAATTTTTTAAAACCTAAACTAGGTTTTTTTATTACAAGAAATATCGTTACGGTACTGTACCGTAAACCGGACTAGACCGTACCAGAATTTATTTTAAGTTTCTGTTCATTACTGTACAGTGCACTTTAAGTTTCAATAATTTGATTTATCTCATTTACATACCAAATATCTACGTGAATTCGAAAGTTTCAGTTGTCTCAGCATTAAACACTGTTATATACGTCTAAATATTCTAAGAACAAATTATATATTGAAACTGCCACATTAAATGAGGTAGAGGAACAATGTATGCAAGCACAAATAATGTTAACTATATAATGGTTCGTATATGCTGTTGTTCTAATTTTTTAATAAGTCAAATAAAATAGTGTTTATGAATTATGAAGTTAAATATTGCTTTAAAAGCTGTAACCCTTTAAGATTTTAGTTTTAAAATCTGAAATCTAATGTTCAATTATCATTGCACTACAAAAAGTATTGATATATAATTGCCACTACTTTTGACGATGAGATAAATTAATACATTTTTATGCACAGAATTATAGTTCTCGTGCAAAACATTGTATAAAATTAACAAAATAACAAAGAATTAGTGCGAATACAATACTAAAAATATGTTTGCTTTTAAATTAAATATTTTTTCAGTAGGGTCATAAATTAATCCTACTACGCATGAGAATACGTGTTGCCAATACTGAAACAAAAAGAAAGAGAATAAATAAATAAAACTATAATAGTGAAAAAGTAAATAAGAATTGTGACTACATGCACTGCCAAAAATTTTAAATTATCTCTACACCAAAAATGGTGGCAACTGTACACCAAAATATTTTACATTGTTGTAACCAGCTATTTTAACACAATAACACTCAACATGCATTTTAAAGATAGTAGATCAAACCAAGATAGTAGATTTTTGTGGCACATAAAAATAGCACTTACCTCATAAGCACTGGTGACTCCAAGATTATAGAACACTGGAACATATAAATAAGCTGTGGCTGGTACTACAAAACAGAAGGATATATTGATCATCAAGTACTGAGTACCATATCGGTACACTTCAGCTGGTGTACCTAAAAGTGTAATAGCTGACATAAAGCTGGCTAAAACAGACATGGCCACTGGAAAGACGCTAAGAGATCGTCCACCCATTAAAAATTCTTGAGTATTGCTTTTTCTCCGATCTACAATGGCATACCATACTCCTATTCCTGCAGATATCAGCAACATAACACTAAATACCATATAATCTGCGACACCAAATAAATTTTTTACCATATCATCCATGGTGATCTGTTTGGATAGTTTGTATTCACAAAAGAAATGGTGTTGGTTGTAAAGAGTGTTTGTAACCTAAAACAAGAAGCTAAATCATTTATAAGGAAGTAAAAATATTAGTTTAAATTAACATTACGAGATCATATCATTAAGTAATTCTAAAAAGAAAAGAACGAAAGCTCCTAATTACAATATGAAACAGAAATATGATAGAAAATATTTCATTTCATAATCAGCATTGAACAACAGACTGGCAACAGGCCAAATTCAAAGTCTACGTCTAGCAATGTTCAATTCCGAAGGCTTGCAATTTTGAACCCAATCCAGAAGACAAGAGAACTACTGGATCACGCATTAGGACAAAATAGCATTCGTGGAGGACTTTTTGATGAAACTAATCCGCATTTGCGTTACAAGGAGAGGAAAAAACCCCAATACTTTCCTCGGTTATCCTGACGACAAGGGGACTCCGTCTACCACTGTGGTTATTTTACGTCAGGCCTGTGGTCGATGTGAGTCAAGAGCGGAATTCGTATCAACTAGTCAACACTGGGTCGTATCTCGATCACCTCATTAGGAGGCGAATGCTCTATATTCTGAGCCACATCAGCTCAATAGAAAATATTGCTGATTTTTACGTAGCTTTCTGGCACTTCGAAATATTTGTTCTAAACGATGGATCTGTTTAAAAATCTCGCTTTCATATACATAGCATCTCTATAGATAGCTGTTTTTGTACCTAAAATGAATAAGCTTTTCTACCTCTTCATGAACAATTTCTTAGATAAATCGATAAGAAATGTTGCAACATTCTTCCATTTCATTCAACTTCGTTTCGTGGTGCTCTCTCAACTCTGGAAGTACTAAAATGCTTTCTCTAGCTGAAAATCATAACAACTGTCTTTGGAGCTCGGTGAAATCGGGATTTTTTAACAGATTCATTTTTGGAACAAATGCATGAATATGCAAAGCAATTATGTTTAATTTGGTTCAATTTCTATTTCTCTCTCATATTGTCATTAATTGTTTTTTGCTCTTCTCATTAATTGCTTAATGAGAGGTTAATTAATACAAAATACTATTGTTTGGAGATTGACGATGGATATGAATGAAAATCTTGGTCTAAAAGAAATCCGTCTATGTCCAGCTGTTTTGGATTCAGCTAAAACAAACTCTCCATTATTTAAAAATTCTCCAAGACTGATTCATACGAAATGTTGAAACGTTTCTTAATATTATTAAACTTTGTTTCTGTTATTGCTATAGGTTTTTTTTGTTGAAAAAAAACTGCCTATGGACGCAACTCAATGCAAACCGGGATTTTCCATTCAACAGATTAATTATTGGAATGAAGGTTTCAACATGTTAAGGAATTATGTACAAATTACTTGTGATTTCATTTGTATTTCTTATTGCCTTTAGTGCTTTTTTGTTTGTACTTTTCTGAAGAAAAAGTATAGTCAAAATCATCAGAATGTGGAAAATTTACCTTATTTCTTACTCTATGAGAACAGTAAAAAGCTCAGTGAATTTTACTGAAGTGCTTTGGCACTGATTTTTGTAAAAGTAACAATGAAATACTGCTTTATAGTATGTGATAAAATGCAGTACATGTTTTAAAATTTGGTAGTTTAAGCATGATACCTTAGAGAATGGCATGAAAACTATTCATTTTGTTAAATTTACTTTTTAGCTTTGTATATTTTTTTTTATTAAATATGTGGTCATTGTCATATCATGTTAAAGAAATTATGATATTAAATAAATACAAATATCATATTAATGAAAACAAATGGTATAAATACCGTATGTTCTGGTTTTATTAACCAGAATTATGGCTTTCTTTTACCAGAAATGTCATTACCATACAGCACAGTAGTTTTACCAGAATTCTTTTGTCCGTGTAAGTGTGTTACTTATTGATATACTTTTATTAAAAATAAAAGCTTTAATTCGGAGTTAATTATTAACTTACAATTTTTTTAAATGAATATTACTTAAAAAAAACTTGGATTGTTGGAGCATTGGTCGCTTGTCCAACATTTCTTACATGTTTATGCTTTGTTACATGTTATATAATTTGTTTGGGATAAAAGTTTTAAAAAAATTAAATTGTAAAATAAAAACGCGTTGCGTTTAATTAATGTAAAGTATTCTGATACCAAATTGTTTGATTCTCATTTGTGTGTATTCGAAGCATTTCATCGTGATGTTCAACAAGCATTCACGTAATTTTGTTCTAAATTTTATTGAAAAGGTAACAATGGAAGCACAAATTAATTAGAGATTTTTCGATTAAATAATTCTGAAGGTATTATGTTTATTAGTAAAACGTTATAAGAATAATGTTTTAAACGCTTTTATCACTCTTACAAATAGTTAAAATATTATTTTAGTAAATCAATGTCCTTTTATTACTTGTATGAGGAGTAATAGCATACGTTTTGAAAAAATTAAAGTCATACTAATTGTGCTTTGATATTTTCAAAAAGCTTTTATTTTTCCAAAATGTCTTTAAAAATTAACTGAGTGAAAGTTAAAGAAATTTCTTATAATAATGTGAATATCCATTTAAAAATAATTTATAAACTAAAAATAATTTGAAAAGCTAAAGCAATTTGAAAAATTAAAACATAGTGACATCTACGTAATTTTAGTGTTTCATGGTATTTATTGTCTTAGCTTATGTCTTGCCTTTTTCAATTGACAGTTCTGAAATCATTAAAAAAGCAACTTTTAGGAACAATCTCCAACATGAAATATAATAGCTTATGAAATATAATAGTATGAATGAAATATCATGAAATATAATAGTCATGAACAACATAGTTTATGAAAAATATGTAATTTATTGTTTAATTCATTGCTTTATCATTGTTAAATTCAATATTTAGGAAAAGAGTAAAATAAAGACAGTGCAGTCATTTATGATAAACTAGTAATTAAATAAATGAAACGTAATTTTTTAATAACCTTTATGAGCCGTCTATACTATAATTACTTTTTTGAAAATAATTACTAAACTTGTATCAAGAGAAATTTTGAAAGCAACTACTTCTCGAAATTTAATTAATTTGTTTTTTAACTAATTTAGTTTGGTTTATTGAATATTTTACCAACAACTAACGTTCAAAGGGAGAAAAAAATTTTGAAAGATCAATTTCGATCGTGGAGGTGGGAACTAAAAACTTTTCGTTTTAGCTTCTTATTATCTAACAAAAATGTTTTAAAAATATGCTGAAAAGTAATTTCAAATATTTTTTTAATAACTGTGATTTTATTCAAATGAATAAAGTAAATTCAACTTAAAATTAATTGAATGATAATTAAACTTGCACTATAAAAGGAATTAAATAGTGTCAAAAATAGAAAAATGGAAGATATTGTAAACAAAGAAGATAAAATATTTTAATTATAAATTATTATTTTTAAAAAAAATAGTACTTAAATAAATATATTTAATTAACACTTAAGCAATACTACGATAAACCACATTTTCAGATCATGATTTTGTTGAAGAAAACTACAAGTATAAGGAAAGTATTAAGATATAATCTAGAGGAAATAAAAAAAACGGGCGAAGTACCTGTCTAAAAACTATACTAAGAAACAATTTGATATAAAAATGAGGATTATATATTTTTGAATCCTTGTTATAATCAAAATATATAGAAATATTCGAATTCAATAAAAACTTTTATTAGATTGTGTTAAACTGAAGCAGAGTAATAATTAAACTCTAACACTTTCCGGATAGCAAAATGATTATTTTTTTACACCACAATCCAAGAATATGCTGATAATCGTTACATATATATCAATATACAATTATGTCAAACAATTTTATGGAAATATAAACTATATAAACATAGGTTATAAATAATATAATCAAAGTAATAATGCTTGCTTAACAAAATTAGTCCTAAAATATTTTAAAATATTTATTCCTCGGGTAGGTATAGTTCTTCCTATTTAATTCTTTATCTGTATTTTAGTTATTCAAAATGAAATTAATTTGTGAGACACGTTTTAATTTGTTTTGTTTGAAAAATGCATAAAAATATTCTTAAGAAGTTTTTAAAAAAAATGTGTGTTAATAAATTAAAGTTGAAAATGGAGAATGGAAATAAAATTTTAAAATAGATTTTCAATTTTTTTTGCAAATGGATTTCCAAGTCGTGTTTGTTTTATAAACATATTAGTTACAGAATAAACATATAATTATAAAATACAATCCAACATAGAAAGGGTTTACAATTAAAATATCAATTGAAAAAAATATTCTTAATATGATGAGAAAATGTTACTTACTTGGTTGTTAAAACTCTACATTATGCGAAAAATAAAATTATTTATTTGTACGGAATATTTTATCAGAAAACGATTTTTAAAAAAAGTCTATTAAGCGTAAATCAAAATTTATCGAATATATATATATCAGATTTATCGCACTCATTAAACTTGAAACTCACTAAGTAGGTCAATGTTTTCAGCGAATAAATAATTTTCTATTTTCATTCGAAAAAATATTTCAATCACGGAACGAGTTTAATCATAAGTCGCTTCAGAGACTGAATTTGAGGAATCTTGACTCCATGACTGACTATAACGGTGTAAGCTTTCTATTAAGAAATGCAGATGGCGCTGATGTCGAATAAAAAAAGACATTTCATTGAGTTTTCTAAATATCTAACTATGTTATACTCCCAATTTTATTTTTTCAGTTTTTATTTCGAGGGTTCAAGTTAAATTTTTTTTTCTTCTTTTAATTGTGAAAATTCTTAAGCCGAAAAATACGTGTTGTCTATAAAGCTTCAAGGAAGTCTTGTTTAAATAGATATATTTCTAGAATCTTTATTCTGCAACTGAACAGAAGAAGAATAAAATCTCAGATTTTTTTTAAGTATAAGTAAAAGGATTTTTTTAAAACATGTCCATTAAGAAATTCCTTTAAAAACTGTATCTCATTATGGCTTGAAAAGTCGAGACCCGAAATTTGGTTCATAAATTATTGTGTAAGTGTCTTAAGGCGAAAAATACTTTTCCTCAATGAAACTGAATGGTACAGGTCTAAATGAGCACTTTTCTTAAATTTAATTCTACTAAGAGGAAAACAGTATATTTAAAACTACCAGAATACCGTAAATTTTAACATGTTTCTGGTTTTGAAAAAGCAAAAACAAGAAAAAACTTGGTAATTTTTAACGAAGTGACTTGGTAATGATTTTGGGAAAATAAACAATTAAATATGGTTCTATAATATGTCATAAAATTTGATAAATGTGGTGAAATTTGAACATTTTATTATGATACTTCAAAGCATGGCATAAAAAAAAAATTATTCGGTTGAATTTATTTTTCATTTTCGTACTTGTCACTAAATGTGTGATAATAAGAACTACAAATTTGGGAAACGAAAATTCCCGGTAAACCGTTGTCAATTAAGCAGAAAAATTACTAAATGGTTTAAATACTGCCTATTTCGGTTTATTAACTAAAATTACGTTTTCCTTTCTTTTTTTTTAACCATAAATGTGAACATTACAATACAGTACGGCAATTTTACAAAATTTTTCACTGATTATACAGGTCGTTCCGTAATGACTGCCTTCAATAGATATTTTAAAAATTAATTGTCAAAAATAAAGTGAAAAGGGCATATGTATTAGGGTTCAAATGCAAATATATAAAAGCAGTCTGCTACATATATAAATATAAAAATCAGAACAGTGACACATAAAACAGAAAATTCGACGAAAGCTGAAGGGAAGTTAATAAAAAATGCTCCAGGTTTCCTATGCAATCAAACTGGTTTTGATGTATTTTCTTCTTCCTTCCTCTCTAGTGATTTGACAGATTTCGATACTTGTTTTCATTATTAATTTTCCACTATTAATGACTATGTTTATTTGACTTCAGTTTTCTTAAGAATTCTAAAAATATCTAGTGAGGGTGGTAATTACGAACCATCCAGCATATTTAGATTAAATACCATTTTACATCTTTTATTTGAACAAAATATGACGATTTTTTTGCCTGTATAGTTGATTTATTATAATTATTATGGTGTATTTTATTTATTTTTTAAGGAAGATAATAAAAGTTAAATTTTTCTTGGCATGATTGAAATATATATTGAATCCTTAATAACACTTATTGATCATCTTATGTAGCTTTATATAAATTTTAAAATTCAGTGTCCTAAAGCTCATTAACTGTAAATGAGCGCGAAACAATAAATCATAAAGGAAATACACTAATTAGAATTTTTAGCTTTTAGCACAATAAGAAATGTAATTAAGCATAAAATTTTAATTAATTAAAAAAATTACTTGTGGTTAGGAAAGAAATATTGAGTTAAATAGAAAATCATAAAATTATAACAGTGATAAAGTAACATTCATACAATCATATAATGAACATTTTTCGAAATATTTTTATGTATTTGCCAATCCAACTAGAAAGTTATAATTGGTAGAAGAAAAGATAATATTTTGTTATTTTTCATTTTGCTTGTTTCGTGAAGAGAAGTAAAAATAATATCCAAATAATAAAGATGATTGGTCTGTAAAGGAATATGTTGAATTTGTGGTATCAATTAGTAATTAATGGAAGTCATTAGAGAGGACGAAAAAATATAATAAGTATCGATATTTTTGTTTTATTCTTGATTTCATTTCACGAAAATATGTTTATATGGAGCTAAAAAATATAAATATATATACTGTTGGAAATTTCTAGGTAAAAATGATTAAATAGCAGTTTATTTAATTATTGTTTTACCATATTTAACCAAAACAGTCATATTATCATAACGAAGATGATATTTAGTCTGTTAAGTGTGAGAAAATGCTTTCATTGATTTTTTTTCCTTCTAAAGTGGTTAAATGAATATAATTTTATCCGTACTAACTTGGACCAAATTATAAGGACATTTTGTTCCATACTATGCTGTACAAATCCGTATTATGCAGTACTATGGGTAAAAACTATAGCTGAAAGATTTAATGGATCAATCGTATTATCGGTTGTGCAGGGGTTCGAATCCCAGCGCTGTTGCTACAATATTTCTTTCGTTCGTCCTGCACTCTTCAATCAGTGGTCCTGGACTATTTGAATACGAAACTATCATTCAGTCTTAAATAGGGCAGCAGCCACAGAGCTCCTATTGCCAATAAATTTTGAATTTTATGGTTCAGAAACTAAGCTAGTTTTAAATGGTTACTAAACCACATAGTTTAAGTTTTGCAATTAAGGTCTTTTTAACCGTACCAGTTGTGTAAAAATACAGGGTGTTCCAAAATTATCTTTACAACTTCAAAAATTCATAACTTCGAACATAAACAAGATATTTATATTAATAAAGTTTTTTTTCAATAGGCTGAAAAGTTTTAAGTGAGGATGTGGACACCACAACAGAAAGCTCAATGCGTCTCATAGCCGTATTCGCTCCACATTTTCTGGACTTGTGCTAGGTCGTCCGGCTCCACTTTTTTGCAATAATGATCCGGTGCTCATGAAGCTTGTGTGCCATGCACGGATGGAGGGTCTGGATGGTGGGTCTCTTTGGAAATTTGTCCTGAAGTTCCGTTGAACCTGTGTATCTGATTTCGTCTCTATGAACCATGAGACGCATTGAGCTTTCTGTTGTGGTGTCCACATCCTCACTTATAACTTTTTAGCCTATTGAAAAAAAAAACTTTATTAGTTGCAGTAATACATGCAAAAGACAGAATATAAATATCTTGTTTATGTTTGAAGTTATGAATTTTTGAAGTTGTAAAGATAATTTTGGAACACCCTGTATAATGTTTCTAACTTTAAACATTATGGTTATTCGGATGGACAGACTGTTGCTGGTTATTTTACCGATATTTGAGAATGAAAATTTTAACCTACTATCACAACGTTTAAGTGAAAAAAGTAAAAAACAAATATTTCATACATTTTCATTAAATTACTTTTTCAGAAAAAAAAATGCTAGAAGTTTATTATAGGAATGTTTTATGCTATGTTTGACTTTTAGATTAAGAAATAGCATGTTACTGATCTGTCATAAATCTAATAGAACATATATAACTTAAAATCCAACTTAAAATACAGCAAAAAACATTTCACAAGTGTGATGGTCAATTGAAATTGTATTTTGAAACAATAATATGTTAGAATGATATTTCTAAAAGAGTAAGCTGTAAGCTATAAATAGTAAAAAACAGCAGTGGTTACCTTTGACCCTAAGTGTTTAAACTCTCGTTGAAAGTTTTGAGTTTTTAGATTTTAATCTGATTAAAACTATTAATAGCCATCTATTCGCTTCAGTAAACTAAACATTTGATGGCTTTTTTTGCTTACAAATTTTAACATAGGTTATTTATTTTTCAAGTATTAATATCATTTTACAATTTTAAAGAATTAAGAAAGTATTTTCGCCTTAAAATTGTTTGAGGTCTAAAATACACAAAGTTGAAAGGATGATTCTCAGTTGAACGTTTCAGAAATTTTATTTATACAAAAAACTTCTTTTTTTTACCCTACTCAAACTGATTTTTAAAACCTCTTAAATGTAAATAAACCTTATTTTAACTCCATTTTCTTTGAAGCCCACCGGATACCTTATTTATTCAAGGAATTCTCATTTTAAACCTACACATTTAATGATTTTTTTTAAAGCGGGTTTTGTAATACCTATCTCTAAAATATTTTTTAAAAAAATTGTGCCAAAATTATTTTTATTTTGAACTATGTTTTCTTTTGAAATACTTTATTTATTTTACTTATTATTTCTTTATTATGATATTATTATAACATTACTTTATTATACTTTTTATGTGCATCATTCTTTCTATAATGTTATATATTTAAGACGTAAAACATTTCAGTTTCACTAGTCATTTCATCCGTTTAGATATATGCTACATCGATTGATTATTTTTCAGTTTACAGATTTTTATAAATCTTTGTTCTACAATCCAGGTCTGTTTCTTTATTTCAGGGCAGTTTCTGTTAAATAATTTAAGTTTCTGGCTTCGTATTTTTTTTTATTACTCTATAAACATTTAGAAGAAACAATCGCGTTTAAGTGTATATTAAGCATCACTATGCAAGTAATGCTAAGCATTACTGTAACATAATCTGTAAAACATTACCAAAATATTGCAACACCATTTGAAATAGGATAGTAAAAAACATTTGTGGTGCCATCTACGCATTATGCTGCAAATGAATCTATTAAAGGTGCAAAAATGAATATAATTATATGAAATACACTCATTATTTGAATTTTGTGAATTTTTGATACATTTTACTAATGACTGAGTATTATTATACTATTTTTGTCACTTTATACATTCACTAGAATTCAAGACCTGATTTTTCGAGGAAATTGACAATAATGAAATCAATAAAGAAGTAGCGCTAAGGCAAAATTTTTACTAAACTATTTTTTTATAATTTTTGAAACACTATTAAGCAAAGCTAATAAAATAATTAAAAAGTATATCTAAAAGTGTTTAGTTAGTTACCGAAGTATTATATATATACCACGAATTTATTTGATATATTCCAGTATTATTATGTACCACACACGTCAAAATTGATCGAACATTTGCAAAATCAATTAGGGAATA